GCATATTTCTGTAGCTGAGACGATTACTCTGCTATATACAATACAATCTTATAGCCTGAGTATCTGATCTATATGTGCAGGAGCAAGCTCCCACCAAGAGTGACACAACCACGGCAGATAGGCCTGCTAGGCGCTAGGGTATCACCGAGTTGGATCTGGATGGACAACCTGTGGAGCCATCCCCTTCATGGTACATCGACCTTGGTGGAATCGGTGGGGTAATCCTTCTGCATATATCCGTAGCTGATTCAATTACTCTGTTATATGTAGAACAATCTTACAGCCTGAGTATTTGATCAATATGTGCAGGAGCAAGCTCCCACCGAGAGTAACACAACCACATTAGATAGGATTCCTAGGTGCCAGGCTAGGCGAGGGTGGAGGAAGTTATGGGCCCCTAGACCGCTTATCACCGAGTTCGATCGGGTCGGAGAACCCGTTCTACCATTTGCTAAAATCCCATGTTACAAGAGGGTCATCAAGGTGGTAGTGTAGGACAACATACCCATCAAAAAGTACTGGTCCTTCAAACTAATGCTATTTGGTATCACGCCGTGTTACAAGACGACCATCAGGTTGTTAGTGCAGGACAAGATACCCATCAAGTACAGGTACTGGCATAAAAAGGATAGTGAATGGGCGGTTCCATTCCAGTCTGTAGAATCTTTGCTGGGAGAAGCTGAAGAACTGTTTGTTTTTCCTGATGTGTTTGATGAAGAGGTGGTAAAGGATCGGGCATTCTTTATCATGTGTTGCTCATTCAAGTATTTTAGGTACTACCTGAAGACCCAATATGTAAGGAAGGGCATCGAGCCAGAGTGGAGTAGATACCCACATCAGCAAGAGTACTGGAGTGATTTCGTGAGTGAGATGAATCTAATGGGCATGCAGCCTCATCCATGATCTCTCCTCCGGCTCAGAGGTTGGCCCCTGAAGCCCTTCATTCAATTGACAACCTAGCTGTCTAGCCATAATTTTGTGGAAAACATGAGGGGTTGCCCCCTATTGGACTTTATTAAAATTTAATAACAATGTTTGTCAAGTACATCATTCAGGAAACAAAGAAAATAAGCAAAATTACACATAGCTGTCAAGCCATAAGTGTAACTGTAACTGGACATCACTCTTAGATCTGAGTTTAACTCGAGCTAGCTCTTGTTTGAAAACTAAATTTGCAAGTTTGCAAAGAGTGCTGTTGATTTCTGAAGATGTCTTAACTGTGTTTCACCTTTTTCCTTGTGTTGCAGACAGTGGAGCTGAGACCATTTTAGAGATATCTGGGCTGCAAGAAGATCTTGGCGGTTTCATTATGGAGACCATCACCTTATCTAATCAAGGTGCCAGTTCCTAACCTTGGAATGCCGGTTTCATTTTGGACGTCTGTTTGTGTTATGAAAACTATATATTCCCCGTGGCTGGATTTGGACATTATGTCGTTGTGGTCGAAAACTATGTATGTTGCTGTCGTTTTGTACGGATATTTGTCTCGGTGTTCTGAAAATATATATGTTGCTGGCGATGCGTAAGTCATGGAATGTCTGTATTATTGTTTGGTTCTATAATGTATTGTGAACAATAATGACGTTGAGTGGTAATGCCGGCGGTAATGGACAAAACATTATTGTCGGAACAAACACAACATCGGCGGTGATGCTGCCCCTCATTACCGCCGGAGGGAGCACCGACCACGTGAGCTGACACCTACACCACCGCCGGATGGTACGCCGGTCCAGCGGTGACGCTCCCGCCATCACAGACGTATGGTACGCCGGACCGGCGGTGGTGTTCTTTCTCATCACAGCCGGATGGTACGCCCGACCGGCGTTGGTGCCCTTTTCATCACCGCCGGATAGTGCGACGGATCGGCGGCGATAGGTTCATAGTCACCGCCGGCTGGTACGCCGGCCCAGCGCTGACAAGCGCACAATCACCGCTGGATGGTACCCCAGGCCGGCGGCGAAGGTAGCATAATCACCGCTGGATGGTACCCCGGACCGGCGCCGATGGACGCATGATCACCGCTGGATGGTACACCGAGCCGACGTCGATTCTTGTATTATGACCGCCGGACCATACGCCGAACTGGCGCCGATGAGCGCCTCATCACCGCCGGATGGTACGCCGGACCGGCGTCGAAGGACAAATCAGCACTGCCGGATGGTACGCTGGCCGACGGTGATCAGATACCGTCACTGCCGGGCCGTACGCCGGACCGGCGTCGAAAGGCACAGCATCGTTGCTGGTTCGTACACAGGGCCGGCGGTGATAAGTTCCCATCACCGCCGTCTGGTACCCCGGTCCGACGGTGGTGGAAAACTATTACCGCCGGGTTACTACCGGTGGAGATAGTGGTCACCCATCACCGTCGACTTACTCCAACGGGGCCGAAAACCGACGGTAATGGGGGTTCTGGAGCCGGCGGTGAATAGCTTTCTGTAGTAGTGATGGGAGATACACAAAATTAGGTTAGGCCTAAGAAAAGTAAATATATAGAGATAGAAATAGCAATAAGACTTGAGGAGTAGGCTATCGTGAATTATAAATATTGTAAATGAATATTTAGAAAAGAATTTATAAATATTGCAAAAAAACATCATGGTTGCTGTAGTTTAGTGGTAAGAATTCCACTTCGAATATAACGAAGGTCTTCGGTTTGTACCTTTTTTCTTTAGTTCCTTTGCAGTTGTACATAAACCTCGTGCTTGTAATATGGCTGCTCACAGCCTAGCTGCCCTAGGGACGAGTTTGATTTCGGGGGCTGATCTGATTCAGGACAGTATTTCAAGTTGTATTCGTGTACTGGTTGCCAATGATTTAGCGTCAGTTAATAGGTAATGGAGAACTCTTCCAGTTTCAAAAAATAATAATAATTTATATTCATTACATCCCAGCAACCATAATATTTATCATTTTTTGCTCAATTTTACCTTCAGTTCGTTTTTTTTTTAAATAAAATAAGTTTTCACAATATTTATACGTTTTTAAGTCAATATTTATACGTTTTGCTCAATTCTTTCTTCGGTTTGCACATTTTTCTTCAGATACAATAAGTTGTATTATTACGTTCAGGAATTTTTCCTTCTGTTTGTACCTTTTTCTTTGGATGCATAGGTTATATTTTATTTTTTGAGGTCTTTTACAATGGTTGGGAAAGTACCTTGGTACCTTTAGGTACTTTCTTTTTTTTCTATTTTTTACCAACTAATTGAAAAACATTATTTATTAAATATAATTTATAATATCGAGGTTATTTTCGTAACTGAGGTTATGGACTTTCGCGTAACCCTCTACCTCGTTCGTCGGTGTTCGCTCCGCTAGCCGCCCTGACGGGTATCACGTACGACAATGAAAGCATCGAGGCGTGCTGGACACGGGCCGCGCCACGCCGCCACCTGCCCCGTCACCCACGCGCCGCTCCGCCACGATGACCCTCGTCCCCAACCACGACATCCGCCGCGTCATCCAGGACTGGTGCGTCACCCTCTGCTCCCGCGGCGTCGAGCGCATCCCCACGCCCAAGATCCCCATCGCGCCCGCTCTCCGAGCTCCTCTTCGTCCTCGCCGGCTCCGCCCGCGCGGCGGGCGCGGTGCGCCGAAGTGGTCTCCTAGATAAAGGCCCTCGCGAGGGACAGCGAGCGGAACAGGCACTACTTCGCGTCCATCGGCACGCGCCGCGTTCCGAGTCGCTCGCTGCTGCTGCTGACGCCGCACCGGAAAGGTCGAGTCCTTGAGGTCATCCTGGCGGCATTGGGCGCGTCCTTGATGTGAGAAGAAAGGTCGATAAGATCGAGATCGTAGACGCGCTGGCAAAGACCATCAAGTCTCCAATCTGCCCACAGGCAACCAAGGCCGGCATGGTGGCCACCTACCCCCTGGCGCTATACGAAGAGCGCGTCGCGTCGCGGCACGCCTTGCCATCGCCGGGCTCGTCCCCGTGCTCGTCGAGGCCCCTGTAGATGCCGAGCTCGAAGCGGTGCTCGCCTCGGAGGAAGGCCGCGCAAGCGCGAGGGGCGCACGCGCTCGCCATTTTGGCGATGTGGCAGCTCGGAAAGGCGCACAGCGACGGCCAGGAGAACGATGCGGTGACGCGTGTGGTGCGTTGTCGAGGCACTGCGGGTTGGGGCGTTCCAGAAGCTGCTCCTGCTCTTGCAGGTCGGCTGCATGGACGGCGCAACCAAGGAGGACACCGAGCTGCTCAAGATGCTCAACAAGTACAAGAGCGTAGGCGAGTTGGGTGATTTACCCTTGAATACATTAAATGACTGATTTACCTTTATTTGAAAATAAATATAAAATGAAAAATAGATCTGGATCTTGCCCCACATATTTTGGTACTAGCCATATCTAATTTGGTATTATTCCCACCTAATTTGGTATCTCTAGGTACTTTCAGTTAAGTACCTTATATTTTTCTACCGTTCAATCTCACTCAATGGATGATTCATAATTTTTTCAACTATTGTAAAATTTCTCTTTTTTATTATACGTTCTGCCAATTTTTTTTCTTTCAGTTTGTACTCACTCCGTTCCAAATTATAAGTCGTTCTAATTTTTTTGGAGACAAAACATTTTAAATTTGACCAAAATTATAAAAAGAATTGAAAAAGATTTATGACATCAAATAGGTATATTATAAAAATATAATTAATGAGCAATCTAATGATACTTATTTTGCATCATGAATATTATTACTTTATTATATATATTTGGTTAAACTTGAGATGATTTGATTCTTTAAGAAAGTTGAAATGACTTCTAATTTGAAACGGAGGGAGTACCTTAGATACAATGAGTTATATTTATGACGTCTCGCCATTGTATATGTAACATTCAAAAGCTACATACCACCTTCTTCCTTCGATACACCCTAAAACCTCTAGATATGCTGCTGCTCTTTGCAACCCAGTGTGGCGTGCAATCTCGGTACGTATCTTGCCATATGATGTTAGGATCTTTGCAACCCAATGTTGTGTGCAATCTCGGTATCTCGCCATATGATGTTAGGATTTCTTTTCCTGCAACTGCCAAGAGAACAAACATTGCATAAGATTAGCAGGCAGCTAGTAAAGTAACGCAAATCCCGACTTATAAAAAGATAAAGAGGATCAATCAACAGTTAATTTACCTTTTTGTGGTACTTCCTATGAAGCTTCAGTGCAACAACGCAAGCCCTTTTCGCGTCTAGATTCCCATTAACATTATTCAATATCTGAACCAAGCAAAAAAGGAAAACACAATTTACATGAGGCTAAATTGCGCCAAACTTTAGATTTGGGAGCAAATAGCGATGCAGCCTTTATCCTTGTGCATCTCTTTTGTAAGAACAAGTGAGAGTTTCTAGGTAAAGTAATCCCTTCAGCTAGCTTACCCTAATAATGTCATCAATCCCTCGAGCCTCTTGTAGAAGCTTTGGACTGTTCTCCTTCAGGACACTAGCAACCAGGAAAACGGAAATAGGGACAGGTCCATCACCACCATTTGCCCTGTTCTTCATATTCTCCCTCTCGTACTTGCCAAACTGACGTATTGATTTTACCTTTGGTTTAAATCCTTCAATTTTGTGGACTGCAGCCCCAGTCTCTTCATAAGTGTAGTAAATGTCAGGATCATATTCTAGAGCCCACATCATCTGCAGATACGATTCAGAACAATATGGTCATCAGTTGTCGGACCAATTTCTTCATACACCACATGCTAAAGAAAATAAGTTCGCCTACCCTCCTATGGTCTCTGAGCAGTTACCAATGGAAAAACACAGCACATTTGTTTAGCCTTCATAAATCATAAGGTGGAAAGAGCTCATAAATACAGTTCTTCACAATTAGCTCCTTTTCTTTGGTGGGGTGCTGTAGAGTTTAATGCTATTTGTGAGAAGATTAATATATACTGAGAATATTTGATGATATGTACTGAGCCATAGGAGCGCATGCTTGGAGGGCAACAAGACTCTCCAAGAGATAAGGCAGGTTATCACAGGGTTGCAATCAATCATAAACTAACTACATCTGGAGATGCCTAACATACTTTAACAGTATTGAACATAGAGGGCTTCATGAATCTTCAATTTTTGTCTCTTTTTCCTGACAAAATACGTTGGCATGCCAAATACCACAAACTCAGCTTAAACCCATGTATATTCGAAACTAAATATCAAATAACGTTTTAGTGGCGTCATGTATGCTAGTCCCTAACACCTGGTAGTTTATAATTGTTTACTGGTCATGGCAACCTTAACAGTTTTTCAAATTATGCTCACATCATACAGAATTACTTAATTGTTGGATTACTGGTTTTACTGGGTACCAGTAGCAGTAGCTACTAGTGGAGACATGTTTCTTTCAGCTATTTTTTATTCAACGGTATGTTACATGTTGCATGCTGCAAGAAATTCTAAGATAATTTTGGGAGAAAAGTGATATATGGCTAGTAACCACCACGAGCTGTGGAATTGAGAAATTTTGAAATAAGACTTTTTAAAACCTGAAACCATAACCCAACGTGGGATCGGCATGTACTCAAACTGTTGTTTTTCTACCTATTAATACAACGACACGCAGCTTCCTGCATGTTTAAGGGAAAAAACAGAAACCATAAATTTCATGGTTGGAATCATTGTGCAAATAAAAGAAACCATCTACTATGTTGGACAGCTTTAGTGACCAAAAGTTGTTATCAACATATTTGAACATTAGTCTGAAATTGTAGAAGAGAACAGAAGTAAACAACAGAGCAAAAGACTATGACAACAAGGATTTCTCATTCCTTGGCAATCTGATGATATGGCTAGGAATCTAGGCACTCTATCAATGAACTGGAGGTGATTACATTGGCTGGATGAACTGGATAGCAGCAGCAGAAGAGATCGCCCTCCCTGGGAGGCTCTGATCGGTTAACTCTACTTCTGCTTGCCTCTAATCCCAGCCGCACTAGTGGTTATATTACCCACATGCGCGGCTGAGGGAATGCCGACGGGGGTGGGGAACATGTCGCGCATGGTCTTGGCGTTGAATGCGCGGTAGTCGATGCAGAACCTCCACGAACCGTCCTTGCGCACGAGGAGGGCGGGTGACAAGAACGCCGACGTGCTGGGGTGGATGAGGCCCTGGTGGAGCATGTCGGCGCACTGCCGCTCTAGTTCGTCTTTGAGCAGCTATGGGTAGCGGTAGGGGCGGACCGCGACTGGAGCCGTACCTGGAGAAGATGAATCCGGTGATCACAGAGCAGGCCGACGGCAGCGAAAACGGGGTGTCGAAGATGTCGCTGAACTCGGCAAGGAGCAGCTGGAGGTCCAGGCGTTCGGCGGCGTGGAGAGAGGGCCCGCTGGAAGTAGAGAGACCGGTCCACTGGACGCGATGCCCCTAGCACCAAAACGCCAAGGTCTGGCGGTCGAGGTCCCAAAGGATGGGGCCCGGGGGCTTTAGCCAGTGGCAGCCCAACACGAGCTCATAGTCGACGAGGGGTAGGACGAAGAGGTCGATGCAGAACTCGTCGCCGATGGAGATAGGCACGGCGGCGCAGATCCCGGAGGAGGGGACGGGATCCCCATTGGCGACCCCCACGGTGAGGCCGGGTTTTGGTGATGGCTGGAGACCGAGGCGGCGGACGGTGTCCTTGGCGATGAACGAGTGCGTAGACCCCGAGTCCACAAGGGCACGGAGGGATGCGCCCGCGACGGAGGTGGCCAAGTGCATGGTGTCCACCGTTTTGATTCCGATGAGGGCGTGGAGGGAGATCTCGATGTTGTCGTCCGAGGTGGGCTCCTCCACTGGGCGTTGTCGATGGGAGTGTCGTCGTTGTTGGCCCAAATGGATCTCAAATTCAGATTTGGGAACTGCCAGAGGGCAGCTTGGCCATAGGCCGCTTGGATTGAAAGTAAAGTTGCAAAGCTTGTGATACAAGAAGGTCCTAGCCTCTGCTCTTATAGAGACGGCGCCCTCTACCTACTCCAACATATTCTACTGCCACTAAAGTAGATGCTAAGCATATTCCTAATACAAGGCTTGGAAGCCAAAAAAAGTAAATTGCAGAAACGTAACATACAAGTGTTGCCGAGCACTAGGCTTATCTATCAATTCCCCCCTAAGCCTTGTGCCGAACACTGGAGGTGATCTGTTGTAGCCCAATCCTCTCCCTCATCCCTTGGAACTTGGACTTCCCCAGCGACTTGGTAAGGATATCAGCCAGCTGATCAGTGGTGGCAATGTGGCTTCTCTCATGGAAGACAGGATTCTTGGCCAGAGCTAGAGCAGACTTGCTGTCCACCTTCAGCTCAACCACATCCACCTTCCTGCCAAGGAGCTCTGCCAGCATCCTTGACAACCATAGTGCCTGAGTTGTTGCAGTGGTGGTGGCGATGTACTCTGCTTCACAGCTCGAGAGGGCCACCACCTTCTATTTGAGGGACTGCCAGCTGACCAAGCAATCGCCGAGGAAAAACATAGTCCCGGTCGTGCTCTTGCTAGTGTCCACATCGTCGGCGAGGTCGCTGTCGCAGGAGCCGACGAAGCATGCTGTGTCAGCGGCCCTGGCGTAGTGAAGCTCATAGTCCAGGGTGCCCGCCACATAGCGTAGGATGCACTTGATGGTCTGCAGATGCTCCATCGTGGGCCGCTCCATGAACCGGCTCACATACCCGACGGCGAACGCTAGGTCCCGCCAGCTATGGACCAGGTAGCGCAAGCTCCCGATCAGCCGCCGGTAATGGGTCACATCGATCTCCTCCGCAGTGCTGTCCCGACTGAGCTTGAGCCGCTCCTCCATCGGGGTACGGGCCAGATTGCAGTCCGTCATGCCACCGAGCTTAAGGATGCACTTGGCGTAGTGGGTTTGGCAGAGGGCGATGCCGCTGGCATCCTAGCGCACATCGACGCCGAGGTAGGAGAAGAGGCCTAGGTCGCTCATGTCGAACGTCTTCTTCACTGCGCCTTGAACGCCTCCACCTTTTCATTAGCGCCGGTGATGATGAGGTCATCAACGTAGACGCCGACCAGCAGGACATTGCGTCCGCTGCCGTGCCGTTAGACCACCGCTTCTCATGCGCGCTCTGCTGGAAGCCCATCTTCTTGACCGTGGCGTCGAGCTTCGCGTTCCAGGAGCGCGTGGCCTGCCGCAGGCCGTAGAGGGCCTTGCACAGGCGGTACACCATGCCTTCTTCTCCGGCAACGACGAAGCCCGGTGGCTGGCGCACGTATACCTCCTCTTTGAGATCGCCGTTGAGGAAGGCGGACTTGACGTCCAATGCGAGGACTCAGACCGACTCTAATCGATCTGCTGAACCAAGCCGCGTGCCACCGGCCGCGCCTTATGCTTGATCACCGCGCCCTGCTCGTCCTTCTTGAGCTTGAACAACCATTTGAGGGTGATGGGGCGGTGGCCGCCGGGCAATGGCACCAACTCCTAGGTGCGGTTCTGCTCGACGGACTTCAGCTCCTACTCCATCGCCGCCCGCCACGCCGGATCACCCTGCGCCTCAGCATAAGTGGTCGGCTCACCGGCGTGCGTCAGATGAAGCTAGGCAAAGAGCCACTCTGCCTGGTCTGGTGGAGACCGGTCGCCGAGGATGTTCGCCACCGTGCGTTATCGGAGGGGCTCATCGTCGTAGAAAGCATCTAGGCGGTCTTCATCGTCCTCCAGCGGCGTCGCATACTCGATCTCTGGTTGCCCTGCGTGCGCTGGTGTTGCAGATGTCGTAGCTGGCGACAGGGGTGGAGTGGTCGGCTGAGGTCCTAGAGTGGTCGGCAAGGGTGCTGGAGTGGTCGGAGAGGCCGCCGATGGGCTGCCCACCGCCGGATTTGGTGAAGGCAAGCGCAGCGAAGCAGATGCACTCGATGCTCCCCTACTTCTACAGCCCACGCATAGTCGACGGTGAATTCGCACAGAACTGCCGCTGATCCATCATCAGCCGCCTTGTCCCACGCCCAGCCGCGGCCTTCGTCTTACACGACGTCACGCGCCACCTACACACGTTGCGTCACCGGATCGAGCACACGAACGACCTTAGCCCCTTCAGCGTAGCTAATGAAGACCCCCGGCGATCTGCGGTCGTCGAGCTTGCCGACATGGTTGAGCTCCTTGACGAATGTCAGGTAGCCGAAGACGCGCAGGTAGCCGACCGCCGGCTTGCGCCTAAGCCAGGCCTCATACGACGTTTTGCCGTCAAGGGCCTTGGTCGAAGAGCGGTTCAGCAGGTGCACGACGGTCATTAGGGCCTCGGCCTAGTAGATCGCCGGCATGCCCCGCTGCTTGAGAAGCACGCGTGCCGCAGCCACCACCGTCTGCTTTCGGCGCTCGACCATGCCGTTCTATTGCGGTGAGTAGGGCACGAAGTAGTGGTGCTGAATCCCCTCGTCGGCGTAGTACTTGGCGAAGTCGGCAACAGTGAACTCGCCGCCGTTGTTTGTGCGGAGCACCCGAAGCTTGCGGCCGCACTCCTCCGCGGCTGCCTAATGGCGCTTGATGGCGTCCGCAGCTGTCGACTTGGTGTTGAGCAGCATGGCCCACATGTAGCGGAAGGTGTCGTCGACCAGGAGGAGGAAGTAGCGCCAACCTCTAGGTGTGGCCGGAGTCACAGGGCCGCAGAGGTCCCCGTGTACGAGCTCCAGCTTCTTGGTGGTGCGGATGTTCGCCTAGCGGGGGAAGGGAAGTCACCGCTGCTTGGTGAGGACGCAAGTGTCACAGAGTTGCTCCCCGTGCTCGACTTGCGGCATGCCCCGCACCATCTCCTTGTTGCCGAGCTGCTTCAGGGCCTCGAAATTGAGGTGCCCAAAGCGCTCGTGCCACCGCCAGGCATCGTCATCGCGCGTGCTGCGAGACACACGGCCTGCGCCACATGCACATGAAGCACGTAAAGGCGGTTGCTTCCCCGATTCACCTTGACAAGAAGACGGCAGTTTCTGTCCTAGAGGCACAGCACACCATCCTCAATCTCCACGCGCGAGCCATTCTCATCCAGCTGTCCCAAGCTGATGATGGAGTTCCTCAGCACAGGGGTGTAGTAGACACTGATGAGCATCTGGTGCTCGCCGGTCTTGGCCTTGAAGATGACCAAGTCGACGCCCTTGATCTCAATGGCGAAGGCATCCCCGAACTTGACAAAGCCTCGCACGCTGGAGTCCAAGTCGGAGAAGAAGTCGCGCCGACCGGTCATGTGGTGAGTGGCGCCGGTTGTCGTCGATGTAACCGGTGCCGAGGAAGGCGTGGGCACGCGGCTCGTCGAGGTGGAGAATACAGAGCCGACCGACGCGGGAGGGGGAAAGGTTGAAGCTTTCTCTTCCTCTATTTCTTCCCGCAGCTTCGACGCACCCGTGCACCAGGAACAGAGCAGGCTCCCCCTCCTCTGCTTACGCGACGTGAGCTTGCCCGCTGCGACGCTGCTGCAGAGGAAGGCGGCAAACCTTGGCCCAATGGCCAGTCTCGCCGCAGTTGAGGCAGGTATCATCCCGGGTCTCCTTGCGCTCGTCGGTGGCGCCGCCATCAGCACCGCCCTGCCCTCGGGGTCCCTTGTCCTCCTTGCCACCGCGTGGTCGCCGGCGGCGCTCCTTGGGCGAACCAGAGCTGGAAGCCTCGTCCTTCTTCTTCTTGTCGAAGGCCCGCCACTGCTCGGCGGTGTAGAGGAGCTTGCCTCCAGCAGTGTTCGACTCGGTGTGGGGCGCCTCCTCGCAATCTTGCACCGCCTTCAACCTCCCGGTGACCTCCTCGATGGAGCACCTCGAAATCGAGAAGCATCTCGATCGCCAGCACAATCTGGGAGTACTTGTTGGGGATGCACTGCAGGAGCTTCTCCACCGCACGAGTGTCGGTGATGTCGGTGTCGCAGTTGAGCGCCATCTGCTCCTTCAGGCTGGAAAGGCGAAGAGCAAAGTTCTCAACTTGCTCACCAAGCTTAAAGGCGAGGCCTTCCCATTCCTGGAGGAGGCGCTGCAGCGTCGCGCGGGGGATCAGGTTGTTACCGATGCGCGCCATGGCGATGAAGTCCCAAGCCTGCTTCGCCTTCGCCTTGTTGGCAAGGTAGATCTGCAGCTCAAGAGGTACGGCGGCGCAGAGGGCCTCCAGCGCCCGTTGATCGTCGTGGTACTCGACGCCTCCGAACTTGACCGCATCCCAAAGCTATCGAGCCTGCATCTTCACCTTCATCAGCAGCATCTTCACCTCGTGAGCATCGGCCATGGCGTCCCCGCTTTGGAGTCGCGGTAGACCGTCTGCACCACCGACGTGCGGCCACGGCGCGCACCACACTGCTACAGCGAAGGCGAGATCCTGCGGCGCCTCCATCTCCTCTCGCAGGTGGGCGCTCCATCTCTCGCAGTGCGGCAGCGGTGGCGGCCATGGCTTCAGCCGCAGCCGCTGCACACGTGGCCGCTGCGACTGTCTGCCTCTGCGGCAACAAGGCTCGTGGCGCGGTCGTCGTCTGGAACCCCCTGCACCATGCCTCCACCCTCGATGGGGTTGATCACCACTCCAACAGCGGTGGCGGCACGCCTGGCTCTCGCTGCTGGTAGACATGGCTACTCACTGGTCTCTCTAGAACCCTACAGTTCTGATACCAATTGTTGGCCCAAATGGATCTCAAATTCAGATTTAGGAACTGCCACAGGGCAACTTGGCCCTTGTGATACATGAAGGTCCTAGCCTCTGGTCTTATAGAACTGGCGTCCTCTACCTACTCCAACATTCTACTGCCACTAAAGTGGATGCTGAGCATACTCCTAATATAAGGCTTAGAAGCCAAGGAAAGTAAATTGCAGAAAAGTAAGATACAAGTGCTGCCGAGCACTAGGCTTATCTATCAGTCATCGAGCTCCATCATGTACAGGCCCTTCATTTTGCAGGATTTGTGGTGATCCTTGGTGAGCTTCTTCGGACAGTTTAAGCAGAGGCCGTCGGCGCGGCGCTGGGCCATCTCCTAAGAAGTCAGGCCCTTGAACCGAGCACCGAAAGGCGGTGGCATGCCCTTGGTGGGTGCCGGCGCGTCGGGATGGCGCCCTTGGCGGTTGGAGGCGGGGTCTGCTGCGTTGAAACAGCCGCAGAGGGACATGGGCGGGCCGCTAGGTTGGCGCAAGGCGGAACGCGCGCACAGAGGAGGCTGGGTCATCGTCGTCATCGTCTAGTTCCAGGCGGCGCTCCAAGGCCCGGGCGAGCCCCATGGCGTCACCAAGGGACTATGGGCACTGCAGTTCGACGTCCATCTGCAGGGGGTTGCGCAGGCCGCCCGTGAAGATGTCAATCTGGTCCTGTTCGTTGAGGTTGCAGCAGCGGGCGTGCGGCGCAGCTTCATGAGGGCGTCGAGGGGGTTGCTGCGCATCGGAGGGTCGAACGCGCGCTGGACCTTGTCAACGAAGGCCGGCCAGGTGGGTGCGCGTGGTTCTGCTCCAGGCGGTAATACCAATCCTGGGTAGCGCCCTCCATGTATAAGGATGCATACCAGACGCGCTCGTCGTTCGGTGTGCGGTGGGCGTGGAAGAACTGCTCTAACTTGTAGAGCCATGTCACCGGGTCAGTGCTGCCATCGTACCGTGGGAAGCGGAGTTTGTGCGCCGTCGGCTCACACGGCGGTGGGTTGGAGGTCTCCGCCTTTTCAGGCGCCTTGTTGTGGTCGAAGGTGCCGGAGGCCATCTTCTCGGACTGTAGGTGGTTGACGGCTGATCTCCCTTGATCGTCGTGACCTCGCTCTTGATAGAGGAGATGTCGGAGCGGACGACATTCATGGCGGCCAGGAGATCGGTTGTGGAGGAGTCGCCCATTGCTGGCTAGAGGATCGGGTGGATGATACCAACGATACCAAGATGATATGGCTAGGAAGGCACTCTATTGATGAACTGGAGGTGATTACAGTGGCTGGATGAACTGGATAGCAGCAGCAGAGATCGCCCTCCCTGGGAGGCTCTAATCGATTAACTCTACTTCTGCTTGCCTCTAATCCCAGCCGCACTAGTGGTTATATTACCCACAGCCACATGCGCGGCTGAGGAGACTTCCTACTATTATTAGCTAATTGACCATGCACTCTAGCACTAGAGGGAGCCACACACCCACATGAGCGGCTGAGGACACAGCTAGCCGATCCAATTGACCAGGCTCTAGCCACTAGAGGCAGCCAAACCCTTCTTCTTCTTCGTAATATAGTGCTGCCCAATGAATGAGTCCACAGCATCTGAGGACTAGAATAAAGGCCAATGGTCCTAGTTCAAATATTACACCTCATATGGGTAGATGCATTGAATGTTCCAGATTCAAAGTCACATGTCAGGATGTAACATTTACCTCCCAAAGGTACAAGGAGTCCCCGAATGATAGTTCTCGCCGGAACAATACCATGAACATGCGGAATGCAAAGAGATAGTCACCCCCACCAAGTGTTTCTGTGTTGAGGAGTCGACAAGAACCAATTGCAGGATGTAAAACCAGCAAAATGTTGACACAGAATTCAATGTCTAACAGCCCTACAAGTCTTTGTTCCATACCTAGGTGGCCATGTAACTTTGGATCGAGCACCTGAATGATAGAAGCAAGATGCTGAAGCTGGTTTTCCACCCCAACAGACTGTTGTGTGCATCTGAAATTGCCTCGCTTGAAAATTTTAGAAAGATGGTGATTAAAAGATTTAGAAGAATGATGTCACAAGGAAAAGCACAGGACAGCTAGATGGAGAAGTTTATACCAGTCTACGCATCAATCTCTCAAAGCACCAAAATGCATCTGCTTCATCGTTGAGTAGCACTATCATGGGTGAACATAAATCACTCATTCCTAATTAATTAAGAGGGGTGGAGAAAAAACCTTATGTCAGATTTCCTTGCGGGCAATAAACAAGGCCACTGTGCAAGTAAGAGGCGCTAACCTTGACAATAACCAACTTCTTTGTCAATCCATGCATAGACAGCCAGAATATCCCACAACTTTGAAAGATTATCTTTGTTCTCGTAAAATACCATGGTGCGGTCAGTGCGCAGAACATCAAGGCCTATCATGCAGCAGTTATGTAACAGTTATGTAAGGAGGAAGAAAATAATGGCAGGTCATAGGAAGAGAAGAATCGACCTTACCTATTTGATGTAACGTAAGCTTCCAGTCAATGATTTGTTTATCCAAGACACGGTTCACGGAGTTGTCAACATCAATTCCATTTCCACTGCTGCCGCTGGTGGTGATTGAAGTACCTTGCGTGTCTGAAGTAGCCTCAAGTAATACCAATGGATCCTTAATAGGGAATCCATCCTCGGTTATAATCGGGGCGGTGATAATTTTACCACTGCCAACATGAGAATCCATTTCTTTGCATTCTTGCTTCCATCTGGCATACTGCATCCTGATCATTGTTGTTCATTCAAGGAAAAGAATATATATTCAGTCCATTGGTTGAGAAAGGAAGGGAGGTACGGTAGCAGTGAAGAGAAAGGGTGGTTCACGGATGGACCTTCTCCGCTCCCTAATCTGGTCCCTCTCATCGAAGGTGCTGCCAGGGTCAAAGCAGCCGAGCAAGAACTCCCAAACCTCTCCCCTGATCGCGGGGTGCACACCCTGACATATATATTTTTTTTGAAGGGATTAGTGAAATGAAATTGGGTGCGGGACGGGTGTGAGCAAGGATGGACTTGAAATTGCATTTCACTAATTTCATTTTATTTCACCCTGACATAGAATACGTACGTAGGCCTTGTTTTCAATTTATTTATCTATATTAGTGAAAAAATAAAATGGAACTCGAATGAACTGTACCCTACCCCTCTCTGTATGCGGCTGAGAACAGAGGCGATATCCAGGCATCCGTCACGCGTGAAGGCAGCATGCCATTTCCGAACGCTCAGTGTCTTCCCCGCCTGAAATGAAAGTGAAAACAAGTCAACTCAAATTAACATGGGGTGGGGATCTCATCTCGAACCAATCGGGGGCTTCCACTCACCTTGATCTTGAACTTGGTGTTGGGGACGTTTTGGCTGCAATCGGGGCGGACCTGGTAGAAGGAATCGGCGGCTTGCCCGCTGCTGCCCCATCTCTTCATGGATTCCCTTCCCTTCCGTTACCTTCTTCTACCTGCTACTAGTACCACAACTATCCGCAGCAACAGATCGATCCTCTTCCTCTCAACAAGTATGAATGAACGGATCAAGAAGAGTAAGGTCGTACGGGGCGGGAGGAACAGAGCTGAGCTGAGCTGGATCGAGGGAGAAAGGGAACCGGGATCCCGGGAGGAAGATGGCCAGCGAGCGGTTGTTAGGTTGGGCGGGTCAGCTCCAACCGCAGCTCCAGTTTCAGCTCCCCTCCAGGCTACAGCTACAGCTACAGCTACAGCTAGCGGGCGCTGCGCTGTGCTGCACCTGCACACTGCACAGGCGACCTCTTTTTTTAGTTTCCTCTTGACCAAAAAAAAAAAAAGGAACAGTTCCCCAGTAGATGATAAAATGCAATCCCATCAATACCATTAAAAAATTATTCCACATAAAACCGAATGCTTTAAAAAAAAAACCTCCTCTTATAAAGCAAAACCTACACCATAACATTCCATGTCATCGCTTGAACTTATCAGCCATACCGTTTCAACGAAATAACAGTATTTTTATCTCACAACAAATCAGCATCAGCATCGGTCATTTTTCCAGCCAGCCAAACTGGGACGACTTTGCGTGCACTGCCATTTGTTTCGCCTCCTCTCCTCTCTTGCTAAGCAGTGTATATATGAACAATCAGGCAGCACCCGCAGCACCCCATCTATCATTCTCACCGAACCACAACCTATTCTCCAAAGTAGTATAAGCTCATGCTGCTATGTTTGAGTTGAGTTGGATGCATTGTTCTCCTTGGCTCCTTCCATCCATTAGTATAAGTAATCATCTATCTTCTATATATAGTTCTATTACATACAAATCTCTAATTTCTAGTTTCTATTGATTAGTTGGTGAGATTTTACTGATTATCACAGTTCCTAATTTTGCTTAATAACATATAAGAGATTCACCATCATCACAGTTCCTGATTTTGCTTTCCACTACTTAATTCCAAATGTTCTTACATGAACGTGACAGATAATTCTGATCTCCATTCTACGCATAATGAACTTATCTTGCAAAGCCCCCCCCCTCCCCCTGGAAGCTCAGCCAAACGAGGCCTAAGCAAAGAAGTGGATAAAATGTTATTTTTTTGACTAAGGTGGATCATGAGAAAGGCCCCATTTATTTGGGATTTTGGTTACTTTTAGAGTCCGTTTGGTTGGGTTTTTTCTTTGATTTTTGGCCCCAAAAGCCAAAAGCCCAATCAAAAGGGCTGTTTTTGGAGGCTACTTTTTTAGAAGCAGCTGCTTTTCCGTAGTATATTTTTGAAAGCTGGTTTGACTCTGCTTTTGACTTTTGTCTTTTGGCTTTCTGCTTTTCGAAATTGGTGGAATAAAAAGATCTTCCATAGTTGTTTCAAGAGAGATAGAGATAGAAAGTATATTTTATACTTGTTTAACCAAACAGCTTTCAGTTTTTCTACAGCTCACAGCCCACAGCAGCTTTTCCATAGCTCATAGCCCACAACAGCTTTTTCCCACAGCTATAGCTCAACCAAACACACCCTTAGACTACTACATTTTGGACTTTTCAAAAGCCAAACAACTCCCGTAAGCTAAAAGCCCACAAGCTCATTAGTTTCTTGCCTTTGACTTCCGGGAGCTTTTTAACTTTTGAAAGCTCCAAAAGCTCTTAGAAAACCCAAACAAACAGGTCCAAAGGGAGCGATGATAGAGAAAAGAGGATGGGGCCCAAGGTGGATCTAGACCATTTTTATGTGGTGTCCTGTTGTCACACGCCCAACGCGGGCTACTTCCCACGGCGGAATAAACGGGCCAACAACGGCCCAAGAGGAGGAGGGGCCGGGCGCCCCCGACCCCGCGCCCTAATGGGCAGCGCGCCTAGGGGCAGGGGGCCGCGCGCCGCTGCCGCCGCCGCCACCGCCGACATTATCAATCGTTATCTAGTTACCTTAGTTGAGTCCTAGTAGATTTGGAAAGAGTTGGTTAGTTAAGGAATCGAGTTTGAATTTGTTAGGAAAGGAGAATCCAAATCCTATAAGGATCTCCTGAGATTGCTTAGGGGACAAGTCTCCTTGAGACTACAAATACTAGGAGGATGTAACCGTTATGATCAAGAGAATAGCCGAAAGGCCTTTACCTCTCTCTCTCTAACGCCGCTGCCCTCTCTCCTCCTCTCCTATGCCACCGCCGCCCCCAGCCTCTGCCCTAGGACGCCGCCGCCGCCCCCAAGGTCACCTCCCGGGCCACTCTTGTTACACTGGTATCTGGAGACCAACACGATCCTTCGGGCATCCATGGCCTCCACCACCACCACCATGAAGCAGTTGTTCCAGGAGTTCTCCAACCTCTGTGTCAAGTTGGACGAGATGCACCAGCAGGTCGTCGACCTCAACACCCGCCTCCACGACATCGAACGGGTACAGATCCATGGAGCAAACATCACGGATGAACAGGCAAGGCTCAACCACGAGGCTGCCATGGAGGAGCTCGTTGCTGAGACAAAGCGCGTCATAATCGTCGTCGGTAGATCCTACCTCCAGAGCAAACTCAAGGAACCCAACTCCTCTGACACTCCGCAGATCACGAACGAGGTCACCAACACCTCGCTCCCGACAATGGACATACAGCTGGTGCAAGGCTCTCCATCTCAGGAGCACCAACCCACTACTCCACCGATGACCCACGACGTCCAGCACCTGTCCCATCAGGACGCCGGCATGCTGGCACCGGAGGCGCCCGCTCCACCGTCTAAGGAATCACCCTAGGGGCCGACATACCAGCTATACCCGCGCCAGCCATCCGTTATGGCGTGACTGCCGATGCCGACATTTGATGGTTCTATGGATCCATTACCATGGATCTCGAGGATGCAACTCCTCTTCCAGCTACAGGACACCCCACCAGATGCTCAGGTTCGATTTGTAGCTTTTCACCTCACTGATGCAGCACAACACTGGTATACACAGATGATGCAGGAGGCGCCGCTAGCATATTGGGCGGCATTCACGGAGTCCCTACTCCATGAATTCGGCCACCTACCAGATCAGCATGTCGGGAATGACTTCACTCAATACAGCGACAGGCTGAACGACTACATCGACGCCTTCCGGGCTTATGCAGCACATGTTGGCATCACCAGCGAGCCGCATCGAGTCAACCTCTTTATCAGTAGCCTTCCACACCAGCTTCGGGAGGCAGTCACTGCATAACGGTCGCAGGAGATGGAGGCAGCCATCCTCCTAGCCCGCGGCCTGGACGACACGGCAGCTACTCACGTTCTCGCTTCACCAGCTTGCGTTCTAGTTCAGCAACACCACTGAGACATGCAGGCGGCTGGGGAGTCCATACTGTTGGCCCACAGGATCACTGGCTCAAGTGAGTGAACCACTCACCAGTCTTGCCGAGCACCCGCTAGTGTTGCCGAGCACCCATTAGCCGTGCCGACCACGAACCAGTGTTGTCCGTCCCCACACACTATGGCTAGAAGTAGAAGAAGAAGGGAGAACAGAGCATATACACATAGTACAAGACACCAGCGTTGGCCGAAGCCCTATATGGGCAATGGCAAATCTGAACTCTATTTACTGAGTTACCGTGGCAGTCTATTTATATAACTCTATCCTTCTAGTCCTAGTACAGCTGCCATGCTGCAACAGTGACTAGATAACACAGCAGGGCTGACTCTGCGTCGGCCTCTGCATGTGGCTATGTGCTGCAGGTGAGCCGTGCGGCGCCTGCACCTGCACTGCTACAGTATCATAGCAGGAGGCCTTTTCGGCGCCGTCTTCCCTTGCTGTGTGTTCACACAAGGAAGCAGTAGTTTATTCTAACACATACTCCCTCAACCTACACTGATGCCGACATCGACACCATAGGCACGTATCTTTCGACGAGGCTACACCTCCTTAGCCGACCTCGCGGCACCTCAGAAACAACAGATCCCTCTCGGCAGCATCGACATCAATGAATCGTCCACTAGCTTCCCACTCTACGCCAATGAGCACAACTGAGGACGCTCCACACCCCATCGACATCAGTGACATCCTCGCTCAGCTCCGCATGGCTAGTGGGGATGAACGAGAGCTCCAAATCATCTACGACACCATCACGGTTCAGGCAGCAGCTCCAGCTTGGACGCTTCGAGAAGGTGTCAAGCGCCTCTACGTCTCGGCCACCTCACCGCTACTTCAGGACGCCCTGGAGTCACTTGGTACAACATCTCCAAACCTCCTTGCAATTGGCTTTCATCCAGCAGCTTCCGATCTGACACTGCAAGGGTTTCCGTCAAGCATCCTCCTCCTAGAACCATGGCTGACACACCCCTACCGTCAGCAACAGTTGTTTTCTTCGACAGCAACGACCACCAACTCATCTCCATCAACGACGTCAACATCACCATACACCAGGAGAGTGGCTACCCACTCATATCTCCAATCTACGATGCCATGGGGGACACGCTGTTTGGTACCATGCGGAATTTCGACACAACACCAACATCTCAAGTACCAACTACATTGTGTAGACGATTCCGAGGCACTGTCAACGCGGGAAAGGTAAACTCGTTCCCACGGCCTCCACGGGTCATGAAAACGCTTCACTTTACAGGAATTCTACCTCGCGCTGCTTTGGCCGACGCACTCTACGCACACGGCCCTCGACGGGATGATACGACTTACGACTACATCATCTCGAGCTACTTTAGTTCCTGCCACTACTCCTTCATCTTCGCTACCAACAATGACGACAATGGGCAGGACTATGGAGCACTCAGACATGTAATTGTCCAACTGATGGAGATTCCTTGGGGCACTCGACAACCGACGACCAACTCCAGCACATGGCGGATGTTTCAGCGCGAGGACGCCCTGATCGGAGAAGGGGGGAGTATTGTCACACGCCCAACGCGGGCTACTTCCCACGGCGGAATAAACGGCCAACAACAGCCCAAGAGGAGGAGGCACCGGGCGCCCCCGACCCCGCGCCCTAATGGG